AATAATCTTTTTCCTCCTGATTATGCTTGGTTGAAGAGTGCTATTATCGCAGTTTTACAGGTAAGGAAGGTGGTTGGAATAGGAAATGAAATTGAATCCAGGGATCTGCAACTGTGAGTGCCTAATTGTTTGGCCGGTTTTACTTTCTGGATTAAACAGTCCTTGCCTCCTGCATGTTTTGAGTACAGAGTTTATCATTCTTGAATCCTTTCATTCTACCAGTTAACCCAAACAAAAGCCAATGGAATTACAGAAGATTACTTGTTTGATTCTCATTGCTTTCATCTGATGATCACTGACAACAATCAGCAGATAGTGTAAGTTACACTGTTGGCAAAATACAGATAGTAAGCTACAATACATAGAAAACTAAATGTACCACTGTAAAGCAAAATAAAACCTTCACTGTTTGGTAGAAGCAAGGAGAGAGAAATCTAACCTTTTAGTGTGTTGAATCTGTTACATGTCACTGGGTGTACTGTAAACTATCCCACACTGAATTCTTTAGCTAGACAATAAGTCTAAGAATTTGAGATGTCATCCTTTTATTGAGAGAGGTGGGAAAAAAGTCTGTGCTGCGTAAGTATGACCTGTAACAAAACAGAATTAAAAGTAGTTAAAGACCTTTCCTTGTCTGCCTTCAGAATAGTAGGGGGAAGAAGTTGCTTTTTAAGGAGCAAAGCACTTAGAGGTAAGTTTTGAAAATGCTTCTGCATAACTCATGTCAGCCTCGACAGTTTATGGTGAAGTGTAACATTCTTTGAAATATTTGATATGTTTGTGTTGGCTAGTTTGAAAGAGCTGTATGTATGATGATTTGATGTTGCTGTTAGAAAGTAGTAAGATTAGGAAAAGTATTTTTTGGTTACTTTATTTCATACCTTATGTCTGTCAAAAGGAAAGGATGAAATAGTTGGAGCCAAAGAGGCTTGCCTCAGCTGGGTGATGTGTCCTTCAATGCTACTGTCTACCTCTGTAGCAAGTTAGTCCATTTCTCTCACCAAATTCCCCACTGCTAAATTGTCAGTAAGCTTTTCTCCAGCTCACCAGAAAATAAATCTGTTAAGACATTTTAAGGAGGTGAGTTGATGGTGTCTGAGTGAAGAATCAAGAGCCTGGCCTTGACTACAGGTAGAATCTTCAAAGGGGTCTTGAAGGTGCTCAGGGCCCTACTGCTGTTGCTTTCACTTAACTACCTTAGTTCCACTTCTTCACAGGTCCCAGCTAGTGTGTAATAAAGTTTTAATAATTAATGTATGGGCTATTACAATTGATGAAGTAGATGAATGTTTGAATGAAGCTTAGGTACTTCAGCACTTAAGTATTGTGGAGGCTTAAGTTAAACTTCGAAGTTCAGTGGTGGTCAGTGTTTGCATAAAGAATAATTAAGAGTTTGATAGCTTTTAGTGCTTGGAGTTTGATAACTGACCCGCAGTATCACTTGTAGAATTTGTGATGGGAGCTACAGGTAACAAATTATGCTCTACTCCTTGAAGGCTGATACTTTTATTTATTTTAAAAATTCAAGGTAGGAATTTAGTTGCTTTGATTCTAACAAGAAAGTATTTTATTGAAATGTTGAGCACATTTTCAGAGAAGTAGGAGAGAAGAAGAAAATTAATTCCTTTCAAAATTATATTAAAGAAAACTTACACAAAGGTAACGTTAGATTGCATATGATTCATCTGTGATTCTCCAGGGCTCTTCTCAGTGGAGGCTCTTCATCAGTATTAACTTTCTCGTTCTGCAGTCCTCACGGCATGCCTGCTTGGCAAATTAACCCATACATTACTGTTAATACAGGGCCACTATTTCAAGCAGACCTAGTCTGATTATAGAAATGCCTGAATAATTTTCAGCTCTGGAGATTTCTGTCACCCATCTATGTGTCTTTCTCCATCTTTCTTAGTTTCCTGTTCTGAGAACCTAGACTTAAAACTACCTTAAACTCAGAATACCCTGCTTGTCTTTGGCTCCTCTCTCCTATTACCACCGCAGCTACTACCAGACTGAAGCACCTATCCATCCTCTGAAATCAGAGCTCTTTGTTGTCCCACTTTCCTTCCTTCAGTGCATCTCAAAAGTTCATTGAGACCTTTACACAGCCTGGTTCCTGAGTTCTATGAAACAAGAGGTAGGTCAGTATAAAATATATTTAAAGACTGCCTTGTATTTTAAAGCCAAACTGAAGTAACATCTCAAATCCCTGAATTATTTGCTCTGTGTCTCCACAGAGATCAGCCTGAAGTGTAAACAAGCTGCAGTGCTTGTTTGACAGACTGATGGGGAAATCCGAACTGCCTCCATGTACCTGCTTCCGAAGCCTTCCCTCTTTTTTTTTTCTCTAGTCTTAAAGAAATACAACTTTCAGACCTCAGAATTACTTCATCTCTGCTGGGGGCAGCACTCTGTATTATATCTGGCTGGCTGTCAGGCATCTTACAATCTTGTTCACTATGAGTTAGCCTTAGGTTTCTTAGGGTCTTCAAAGGGATAAGGTAGGTGCACCTTTCCTGAGGTGAAAGTGTATTGGCTCTGTAGTTTTTCTGTTAACGCAACCCAGCTCAGTGTGTGCCATGTGTCATACTCCTAGCAGGGAAGACCCCGCTTAGGGTCCCATGATTAATATTCTGTGTACATCTTTGAAATATAAAATTACAGAATAATTTAGGTTGGAAGAGGCCTCTGGAGATCACCTAGTCTAACCACCTCCTCAAAGCATGTATAAACTGTGAAATTATATTTCCAGTGAAGAGGCGCGGTGTCTGGCTTGTTCCCTTAGTACAATAGTGCTGCTTTTTTTCAGGTATATTTTTTCAAATCTGTATGTCTAAGGAAACAAATTGCAGGATTTTTTCCCTAAATATTTAGATACATAGGTGTGAATAAACGGAAATTTATGCCAAAAATTATGTATTTTTGCTTTACTTTGTTTGTGTATTTTATATAAAGTGAGCATTCATGAATGAGAAGGGGTTTTTATTACTCTTTACCAATATAATTTCAGAGGTGATTGAAGAGAAGAAACTAGTTTCAGTTCTGGTTCTCACTGTATAAATGGAGTTTATGGACTCTGGAAATCAGTAAAAAAAATATTTTTAAGGCTTGTTTTTCTGTAACCAAAGTATACGATAGAAGTATTTATACTTGATTTTTCCTGGATAATCTTGAAGGTAATCCTCTACCCTCTTGCACACCACCCCAAATTAACAAGTATGATTTGGATTTAATCAACAAGGGAAACCATAAATCCAAGCTGGTGGTTTTTGAGAAGTCAATTTTCAAAATAGGACTGTGCCTAAATTACATACTTTAGTCTATCTTAAACCCCTCTGCTTCCAGAGGAACTTTGATACATAAGGATTTTTCTTGTTAGAAAAATGTAAAATCTACTAATAATTCAGAAATCTTTCTTTATACAAGGGAAGAAAGTATTTTTTAATGTCTATTTCCCCTCTCCCCCCCAGCTGAAAAAACAGTCTAATTTCAGTAAGAAGTATATTCATAGTGAAAGCTGTGCCTATCTCAAGGGCATCTCAAACTTCAGGATTTGGGGTGAGGTACTCTCAGCAAGAGCTTAAGTGTATGTTTTTGCAAACAAGGAGTCCAGATACCCAGGATATGGTTAAAAAATGCTGGAGTATTTTAATATAAGCATTAAAATATCCCAAATAGCATTTAATATATTTGGAAATGTCAGTTACAGCACAATTTTATGGAAAGGCAATTGCTTTCTACATTCAGTAAACGTTTTATTTTTATTTTGGGGAAAAAATTTTTTTTTTGTAGTCTTGTTATTCCAGGCCACAATGGAATAGTATAACAAATCGCTCTTTTTTGTTGTTGGCTTTACCTCTCACCTGAGTTGCAGTGTATGCAAAGGACAGAATGAAACTGTGCTTGGTGTTACAGCTCAAGCCAGCTAATGTGTAACTGCAGTTGGTGTGGATCAGCTCGTTGCCAATATGCAAAGAACTATTCCTTATGGACCTCAAACCCCCAGTGAATGCCTGTCTAGTGCCACCTGTGTAAGATCTTATGATTTGCTAGTTGGTGTGACCGGGCTTTTAGCAAGTTACAGCCTACCAGCCAAGGGAATTATCTCAGCTCATTGCTACAAGCATTAGTGTCCAGGTCTGACTTTCCTTTCAGAGAGAAGAATAACCTCATTTCATTAGTACAAATATGCCACAGATGGGGCGATTAGTCCTTTAGGAGCAGAGATATAGGTCCAGTGGGCTTAATGTCTCTGGCTGCTGCAAAAGTGAGAACACTCAACCAATATTTAACACTTGACATATTGTCATACCCGAAACAAAAGTTTCGGTCAGTCACTGAAGTAGAGGAGTATTTGTATAAAAGGTGTAATTAGGAAGTGTGGGTGACCAGCACTAGCAGTTGTGCTGGTTTCTGAAGAAACAGTGCTATTCCGTAAATATAGTTGGTGTGTTTTGTTTTGTTTTTTCTTTAGTTGTTCTAAAGTTGTAGAATGGTAACTTCATTTGTTAATAGTAGGTTTGCTGTAGTAGCGTAACTTAGATGTTCCTGTGGTTATTTTGGGGGGGCCTGATCCAAAAATATCTGAAGCTTTCCATTTATTCTTAATGGATATTGGATCAGGTACTGTACTGAGTTGTTAGCTTTGTGTAAATATTTATTTTGATTTGATTTTGATCATTCCTTGCAGAATATTTGGTTATGTGTTGGCAACATGTAGCTTGGTGAGTACAAGTGAAGTTGACATTTATCTGTATGATTTAATAACTTAAAATGTGATCTATTAACAAAACAAGACTTCAATCATTGATGTTGTACTTGTGTTAGATACACGTCTGTTTGCCTGACATCTGATTTCTTAGAATCATAGTTACTGTTATCTTCTACAATTCTAAAAAGAGAACTTGCAAAACTTGATATAATGAAGTACTTCTATTTTTTCTTTCCCTTTTATTTATTTTTAAAAAATATATAATAAAACAGGTACAACAAGTGGATAAGCCATGTGCACTGCTCTGAGCCCGAAGGCACGTGGGCCTGGCCTCTCTGATATGCATCAATACAGTCAATGGCTTGCAAGTAGACATGAAGCCAACTTGTTGCCGATGAAAGAAGATTTGGCATTGTGGCTCACAAACCTACTGGGTAGGTATCTTATTAGATAGAATGTAGATATTGGGCAGTAAGACAACTCTTTATGCTGTTAGCTGGAAGTTCAGTCCTGCAGACTTAATTCTGCTTCAAAAATAAAGGTAGTTATTATTAGGTAGCTACCTCCACAGAGTGCAACTGTTCGCAAGGTCAGAAAAGCTAATAAGTAGTTTGCCTCCACAGTGTTTCTGTGAGTGGTGTAATTGAACATTATTATTCATTTCATGTTTGTTTTTTCTCAAATTTCCTTTTAAATGTTTTCTTTTGCATGTGTTGTCTGTTTTAATGCAGTTAAGTTGAATGGTGCTAATTGCTGCAATCAAGTACTTCCATTTTTATTGGTAGGCCTAAAGAATATGGGTTACTGACTGTGTTGAACAGGAGGAGCCATTAAATAGTTGTTTGCTGATCAAGCAGCCTAGCTATTGATAATTGTCACGCAAGACAATGCATGCTAAGACTTGTGGAAGCTTGTGCATAGAGGGGTCTGACCTAGTGGCTGCACCTGGGACCTGGGGATTTACTGGTTGCAGCTGTACATCTTGGTGTGTGAAGCTGAAATGTGCTATTAATGAAAGAGGATGCAAACCAAGAGCCAAGATAAAACAGGTAGTTGTGAAGCAAATGAAACTATGAGGCTGTCAGGAAGGAAAGAGACAGTTCTTTGGGATATACGACTCATTCAAGAAGGCAGAATTTAGAAACTATGAGCCAGGAAATAGTGTGTTTGCTGAGAGCATTCAGGGGAAAATGGCTTTTGTATGGTCTCTCTAAGTCAAAAGGATTCTACCAAAAAAATACATGACTTACACAGTACCTCATCCTAGGGCTAACATGCCAGTAGTTAAACAGAGTAGAAAATACTTTAGAGGAGGTGATGTTTACATGAAATGTGTGCTGATGTTATTTTGGAGGAAAATTTGGATGAGTGTTTTCAGATTTGTGGTGTGTGGTTTTGGGTTTGTTTGGTTGTTGCTTTTTTCTGGAAGTCTGTACTGTTGAGACATAGGCAGTCTTGACAAATACTGTAGCTGAACATTCTTGGTGATATCATATAGTAATAGAGCATACCTAGTAGCTTTCGTCTGAGCATTCTATGTTGTTCTGTTTCCTCTTTTTTAAGAGGAAGGGAAGCATCACTGTTACGAGAGGTATAGTCAGTAAGTAGTGTCAGTAGAATGCAAGAACACAGTATTTTGCAGGTAGGTGATATGCATTTTAGAGCTGGTATAGTTAGGAATCCACAACTGCAAAGTTTAAATTGTTTAACTTGTTTTAAATTACATTTTGTGTGGTACTTCCATTTAAATTAATGAGTTTTGAATATAAAATTGTCTAGGCAATGCCAAAACAAAATTCAGAAATCTTGACTTTTCATTCCTGTTACCACAAGACAGCAATCCAAAAGACTGTTTTTTGACTCAGAAGCAGCATGTTGGATTAAGAATTTAATATATTGTTTAAATGTTTTAAACAATGAAGTTTTAGTGAGCCACTCTAAAACAAATAGAAGCTTGTTTGCAGTTCATAACAGAGTTCTCACAGTGAAAAGTTTAGGAATGAGGTCACTTTTTTAGCAAGAAAGTAGCAACCAGCAGGAGGTTCTGAAATGCCAACTATAATTAAAAATCTGATTTTTCATATGGACACCGAATTCTGTACTGCAGAACTAAATGGGTGCAACCTTCCTTTAATTAACCAGCATACACAGCTCATTTGCTTAATGCGTTCCCCCACACCTTCTCACACCAAGCTGCTCTTTTCTCAGAGTTTGTCCTGAAAAACTGAAATTACAGTGATTTGTTAAACTGCTTTGAATTCCTGTGTGGACATTGTTATTCAAATTAATAATTCAATTAAGTGAAAATTCATATTCAAAATAAATTAAGTGTAACTGAATTAAAGTAATTATTATTCATATAAATTTATTAACTCAGAATTCAAATTTGGTTTAATTACTGTATAATTTAGGTTAACTTTAATGAGAGAAGGGACACGTGAGCATGTTGCTGTAAGATTAAATAGGTATGAATTTATAGCATGCCGTTGTAAAAACCTGTCTGTACTCACTTTTCAGCATGCAAAAGAATAAAAGCATATGCAAGACTTCTTTTGTTGTTTGTTTTGTTGTGGTTTTTTGGGTTTTTCATATCTAGAATTTGACCTTACCTGACAAACTGGAAGACTTGAGATATATGGTGTGGCTGGAAAATAATGCTGTAAGAATTTTTAACCCTGAGACTTTGGACATTTTATTCTAATTTAGCATGGACATTGCTGTAGGGATTTTGTAATCACTAGTACTTTAGTATGTATTTTGCTAATTATTTTTGGAACCACGTCAGAGAAACTCAGAGCTTCTGAGAGGACGGTTTGTCATTACAGCTCCATTGCTGAATAGATTTTAGCTGTGTATATTCTGGGGACTGGAAAAAGGATATCACAGATTAAATCGTTGTGTCAGATGGGATTGACTCGTACAATACTGTACATTGTATCATTCTCAAAGTGGGACACATCAGGATGGTGGGGAGTCTGCATGCTGGAGAAGAAGACTGGAGCTATGGATGTTGTATCTTTTACCCTCACTTCCCTCTGCTGAGCTCTGATGGCTCGATAGAGAGAGATCTTTGCAGTGGCAAAGTTAAGGAGATGTGTCAACACAATTTTCTTGCAAATCATGATCATCTCTCAGCCTTGTTCTTATTTGGTATAGAGCAAATGAAACACTCAGCAATGCTTTCACTGCTGACACACTCCAAATTTGGTATATTGTGTATATATTCATTTTAGTAGAATGCTCTTGTGGCTACTGAAAACTTCTGTTCCACCTTGAGCAAGCTTCACATGGGAATTAGCCAGTTTGGCTGTGGTAGTCTTCAAGCAGAGGCAAAATGGCAATTTGAAAGCAAATAATGTTTGCTTATCTGCTGTACGCTCCATTACTGTCTTGTTTTCTCTTGTTTGTCTGTAGAGGCAAAAGGGCTGACATCAGGAGGAGTGTGTCTCATCACCAGTCTGTAGTTTAGGATGAGTACAGAAGGATAGTTTCTCTGTTTCCCCTTTGGCTATTGTGTAGAGCTCTGATCTTTTTTCATATTCCTGGAGCCCATTTACCAGCTGCAGAGCATTATGATATTGTTGCTCATTTCATCCAGCTTTGTTTAGCACGTGGAACCACAGAACAGACCTGTATGATGTGCCTGCGCACATGTCTGTGCTACAAGGTTTCAGCCTCTTGCAAACAGAACTTTCTGGGCTTCAGAAGCTAATAGGTAAGGAGCTGGAAAATGCAAGATGCTGAGGAATTGGACTGATAAAGGTTGAATGTTACGTGAGGCATGTAAAAGTTACGTGGGTGCAAAAGTGAAGTAGACTTGGAAAAGAGGAACAGGGAGGTAAGGATGTTAGGAGAGGCATTGAGTTGAAGACCAGGCATGGAATTTAAAGGTGTGTTGAAGGAGGCGTAAAGTTTCGGGGATGCAGGGTAGGAAGTCGTCTGCAAGATTGTCTGTCTTTGATTTTGCATTAAAGCAAAACCTGCTGCAGCTTGGTGTTCTTGTTCATCTTGCTGTCTAAGAGGATTCTGTAGCAGTACCTTTATTTTTCAGCATCAGCATGTTCAGCTCAAGCCGGTGGGAAATGCAGGTTTTAAATATCTGAATGTTAAAGCACTTGTGATACTGATACTTCTAGTGATTTTGCTGGCACTGATGCAGTTTCTTATTTAGTTCAGTGGCTTTATAGTTTTCTTTAGTACTGTCATGCCTTTGAGACTGTTTATGTCTCCCATTTCAAGTAGACCATAATATCTCAATGCTATCAACACTATTTTTCTTGCAGTCAGCTTATGTAGAAACACAGTAGCCTCATCAGAAAAGGAATAGTTTTGCATGAACATAAAATCACTGGGCTATATTTTCTTTATTTTTGTTGTTTTTTTGTTGTCTTGGGTTTAAATGCCACACAATTTGAGAGGGTCAGGAAGAGCAGTTCCACTAGTGCCTCAGCATTGTAGCAGCTCATTCTTCTGCCAGTGTGCTTCGGAGATTCACCTGAGTGAAATGTTTCTACTTGCAAACTCGTAGTTTTGTGTTACCACTGAAGCATACAATTAAAATAGTCAATCAGCTAGTTGTGAGGCTGGGGTGTCTTGTATCGTAGTTAAAATAAGTGTAGAAAAACTCAGTGTAGTAATAGAGGAACCAACTAGATTTTGGTACTTTATTTTAGTCTTTTCAGTACCTTCACCTTCTTCAAGGCTCTGGTTGTCTGAGATGGCCCATAGGAGACGCTTGATCTTCAGCCTCTTTGGCTTTTTATAATTATTCTTCATAGACCTCCCAGTCTGGTTGCATTAGGACCCCCAGGACTAGGTGGCCTTACAGATAGCTGCCCACAGTCTGTGAGCGGTGGTTGTTCAGTCTGTCTTTTTAAGGAGCATCTGGTGGTTGAGGTAAAAAAAAGGGTAAGCAATGCTTGCAAGGTTTGAGAAAGACTTCATATTCCTGTTGAGTTTTTTTTTTTCATACTCTTAGTGTTGTTTTTTTATTATACTTAATGTTATTACCATTCTATAAAAACATTGCAACTGCTTTCTTGTAATTATAGTGGGAGTTATACATTTTTAATGGACTTTAATGTTTTTTCCATACAAATATACAGAGCCATTTTTTTCCTCAGGCTATGAACATTACTCTCATTTGAATCAATACATTTCAACTGTTAAATATGTCAGAGTGTCTGTTTTAGCAAAGAAATACCACCTTTTGGAGCCATAAAATACAGTGAATTGAAAGCTGACACCTAATATATTTTTCATTGGATACAGATGTTCAATGCAAAATTCATTCTTTCAGCTTTCATAAAAGGGAACAGAACTAAAATACTCCAGCTTAGCGTACAGTGTGCTGTGACCAAACTGCTAATACAATTCAGCATTTAAAATAATATAAACGTATTGTTAAATAGCAGAAGAAGATAGAAGATTTTTTCCATGTCTGCACAAAGAGAAAAATACCTCTAAATAGGTTTTAGGATTTTTGATGCTTTATCAGTGAAATAATAAATCTATCAATCATAGGACAGATTAGATATGTATAATGTGATTTTTCTTGTACCTGTGTGAAAAATTATGCTTTCTAAAAGAAAAGAAATATCTTGAGTAGGTTAAAAATATTTGTAATAATTTTTTTATAAGAAAATGAATCTACTATAAAAGGCAATACTCTATTAAAAGCAGTTCCTATAGCATAATCATTTTTCAAATTTAGCTATCTAATGGATTTATATCTCTTGCCAAAAATGCTGATGGGGCAAATGGGAAAACATGTAGACTAGAATGGTGATGAGGGCTTTTGAGGTGCTGAGATGTTCAAATTTTGTATCTGTGGGCTATTGTAGTTTCAGTCCTGGCTTCAGCTGAGCTGGAGGCACTGCTAAAATATTGTCAGTTATGCACAAGGTACCACTGAATGTCTGAATGCTGCTACTGCTCTGTTGCCTGGAGAAGTCATTTAGGTATACAGAAGCCATAAAGTGGGCTATATGGCAGAGAGAATTAAGGGGGAATAAAAAGGGGAAAAAAAACCTTCACATTAAACAGATCTTTCTGAAGTAGAAATGTGTTAGAAGCAACAAGTTTAACTTCGACCAAAAACAGGCCTAGTGTTGTATCTGAAGATGATTTGCTGCAAATACCTTTATCTTGGTCTTTGATTTTTAACAGACCAAACTGAAAAAAAAATATTTATTTTTTTTACCCAAAGGATCTTGAAGTCTCTAACAGTTTTCAGGTAAGGACCTAGAGAAATCAATTTGCCTTGTAATACTGCTGTTTTCAGTGTTACAAGTGACGTTGACTGTCGGATTACAATGTAAAAGCAATATATTCCAGAGGTACAATATTATTTTTTTATTATCTACTTCATTTTTGTTACTTTTCAATGTTAGTTTTCCCTTCTCCACTTAGTGTAAAGGTATAGAAAAGCTTTACTTCTTTTTTTCTATATCTACTTTTCCTAGTTTTTTGACAAAAAAAATGTTGTGAACCTGTTCTAAACAGATTAATGTTTTAAACTTCCAGACATTTAATGGAAAATATATTTCCTCAAACTAACTTGAAAAACAACAAAAAAGCCCAACCCTGGTTTAGTCAGGCAGCTGCTTGTTGGTCTGTGGCAAAAAAACCCCAACCAACAGTGGGCAGACTTCTCTCTTTTGTCCTGCTTGCAGACGAGCTGGTTTTGAGTAGCAGGAGTGAACCTGGATGGGAGGAGGAACTACTCTCACTTCAGTGTTTTTTATTATTATTACTATTATTAATATAATATTATTGGCTGGGTAGAGTATTGTTACTGGTGATTGCTGTGTAACAGCCTATGAAAATTGAGTTGTTAGCATCATTCCTGTTCCCAAATGATGTATTTAAATATCACCGAAAATAAAAAAATCCTGTCTTGACAGGAAGAGCAAGAATTATTCCCTGATGCTCTCTTGATATTAGTAGAAATTAAGAGGGCTGAAAAATACAGCTGTTGGTCAAAAATGTGTCCAAAGTGAAAGCAAATTTTCCAGTAGAAATGTGCAAATGGAAAGCTTTCAATAAGAAATAGGAATATTTTTACCTGGAAATGATCTTAAGATACTGGAAGTTTAGTTTAGTGTAGTAAATTATTCCTTTCTCATCTGGCCTGTCCACCCTGGTCAGAATGCACATCTCATCATGGGACTCTCCTGATCGCCTCCATCAGGAGGATGTAATTACAGTGTAATGGAAGGTCATCTAGGTTTGTTGTAACCAGAGAGGATTATCTCTGGCAGCTGAAGTGCAGCATCATCTAGCATGACAATAATTGATATATTATGAAATCAGGGTATTTGGCTTTGCTCTTCGAGTGAAAATTTTAGTTTGTGTGGGAAGTAGATACACAACATGAATTTTTAGACTCTCTTCTTTTTTCAATGTACCTAACTTTACTTCTGAAAAAGCTCTTCAAAGGAGCATTGCAGTCAGTGTTTTTGTCAGCTTCTTGCAGAATCAAGTCTTAAAGTCTTATTTTTTTTTAAAAATACAGTCCTTTCCTTCTTGACTTGGTTTTCTACTTCTGTTGCAAAATAAGTTTCAATAGTGTTAGCAACTCTTATGCCATAGCTACCCATGCAACCATTTGCCTGTGTCTTTTAAGATGCTGTGTTAAAAGCACTGGAATTTCGTAGGTAAAATGAAATATGGGGAGTCTGATGTGCTAGAATTATTTTTTAAATACTATATGCCTTCCCAAAGAAAGCATGTTATTTTGGAGTAATTTTCTCTATGTCTACCAGTAAAGCAGTAGTAAGGTTATTCACTAAATATGCAAAGCAATGCAAGTTTTTCAGTTAAAGCACATTTCAAATGTTGTTGATTTATCTTTTTACACAAATGCATTCTATACTATTGCATGCTTTCTGCCATGTTAACTTTCTGTTTGCTGTTCAGGTAGAGAAATAACTGCAGAAACCTTTATGGAGAAATTGGATAATGGTGCCTTGCTTTGCCGGTTAGCTGAGACCCTGCAGGAGAAATTTAAAGAAAACAGCTTTGATGCAAACAAGCCTGGCAAAGTAAGTGTCAGTAAATGTTCTTATATGTATTATCAGTATCTGAGGTATCTGATTGTTTTGATACTGAACTTTTTGTGCAGTTAGATTTAATTTGTGGAGGCTCTGCAAGTGGGCAGGGAGGTGATTACAATATAAAATAATGGGAAAATATTCTCCTTGGTTTATTACTAAGGTAACTATGAGAGGCAGTGACTCAAAAAGTTGCTTGTAACATGTAGAAGATAAGACATGAAACAAAATCTAGCAGTCTGATGTGGTATCTAATAGAGAAAACGTGATCATTGTATTTATTTGCAAGGGGAATATTAATTAGCTATAGAAGGTGCCTTTTCTTCCACATACAGCTCTAGAGGGGCCAATAATAAAATTCTATAGTTAGTTTTGGTGCCTGGAGTTTAAAGGTCCTGTTGATGTATTGGAAGGGGTTCAGTACAAAGTTGCAGGGATGCTTTCCTTGAAAGCTAAAACAGGCAATTACACAGCAGGTAAAAAAGAGCCCAAGAGCAGAAAACACAAAATACATCTTCTATTCTTGATGTTCTCATAACTAGTCTGTAGCAGAAATAGATTTTCTGCTCATAACTAGTCCGTAGCACAGCATATATTTTATCAGCAGTTCTGAGAACTGATAGCCTTGTAGCTGTGGAAGTTATTTTTCTTGGCTCATAATTGTTGTTGCAGAAGAAATTGTCTGGGATAAGGCAGGCTTTACTTATTTTTAACCTTCTGTAGGTTGAGGGAGTGTAGAAGGGTGTTAAAAAAAGGAAGATATGGCTGGGAAAAAGATAAGTAAAGTAGAGAAGGAAGGAAGCCTTCCTCCACAAAGGAGGAAAAGACGTCTGGAACTCATATGTCATGTTTCAAATTGTAATAAGGGTTGAGTTAGTAGAAGTACTGGATGACTTCCGAGTCCCTCCTTATAGTATGGTCCAGCTTGTATTCACCTAAGTGGTGGCCTGTTAGTGTCATGGCATATCTCTAGTTCAGGAAACACTTATGACAGTCTTTTCAGCTGACCCTAGAAACCAGCTAGGCAGAAATAAGATTTACTTGCTGATTGTTTTTTTTAATTATTACTATTATTTTATTTGGGTTTTTTCCCTTAACAATAAACAAAGGTACCTTTATTGACAAAAAGTACTAAAAGCTTAGGGAATACCCAAAAGCTAAACTGGTAAACTTGGCTACAGAGTTCTAAAACATTCAGATTTCCTATCTTGTTCAGCTAAGGTACTAGGAAATCAATTAAATCACAAAGTGCAAAGCATTTTTTTTTTTTTTTACAGAAAAATAGAGGTTGATGACTCGGACAACCATGTCTATTTAATACAAAATTATCAGGAAAATAATAGTCATAAATTAATCAATAGCTACAAAATTCTAGTGAATATTCAGAAATTCAAACACTATGTTTTTGTTCGATATCTATTGCTTTTTGGATTTTTGGTGGGGTTGGTTTGGTTTGGTTTTTGGGGATTTTTTGTGTTGGGTTTTTTTTGTGTCGTCAGACTTTGTCTGATGGTGGCTCACTTGGAGAGAGCTGCCATTTGGAAAGGAAAGCCAGAAATATACCAGTGTTTGGTACTTCTGTGTTTTGCCACTGAAAAGAGGTAGGCCTAATTGTAATTACGTTGATTTGTCGGTCTTTTATTTGTCAAACTGGTATAACAGGCAATGCAATTAAAGGAAAAAAAATCTGCTCCACCGCTATTTTCTCAATGTATATTATTTCATACTTAGTATAGTAAGAATTCAGAGAAATGGCAGAGTAATAGATTTGTGTCATTGCAGGCTGTTAAGGAGCTATTTATCCTTTCAGATTGCAATTCCCTGTGTAGCAGTGCTAAGCAATAGGACTAGGCTACACGGTGGAAAATCTGACTTGTGGTGCCAAGGAAATTTATAAGAAGATTGTACTGTATGAAATTTAGTATAGTAAGAATTCCACAGTCTTCCCCTGAATCATTATTATGTAGTCTGTTAATAATACAGGTGGCATTTTGAAGCCATTTGACCATATCTCTGTGCACAGGAAAACGGAAACATGGTCTTTCACCTAGGTGCCCTGGTGACTTCACTGGCAGCTGGAAGGAGCTGCCGACTGCTACAGAGTACAGCCTTTATCAAATTAGATAACATGCTTTTCTATCCATATGTATAACTTCTAATTTTTTTAGATAGAAGCAGACTGATATAAAATGGGTGTCTGCCAGAAGGATCAGCTTGCAGGCAGTACCAGGTTGCAGCTGACTGAGGGAGACAGGATAAAGCTGTAGATAATAGGGGGGAAGAGGAGGGGAATAATCTTACTAAGTCATTCCACAAGCTTGAAGATTTGGTCTGTTTTCATGAGTGAAGTTTTTCCTTGTATGGGAGCTACTTCCTAGATGGCAAAGCTCCGTAAAATACTTAGTATTTTAGTTTTAGTTTTGTCTTAGAGGAAGATGATACATATACTGTTCTGCTTGATATGTGCTTGTCATGGTTTGAGCAAATAGAACTAATTTTCTAGTTAGTGATTTTACTTTTCAGTTAAGTCTCTTCTAAGTGACTGTGGCCATCATTTAGTGGCCAGTCCAGCCCCAAACCATGACAGTACCACTGATCATGAATTTGCTCTTGCAACTCTTTGAGGCTGTTGGGCCAGTTTAGCAGCTATAGCAATACATGCAAGAAGACATTAAAAACTAATACTTCCTTTAGTTCATATTGCAATACTCTACAGAATGGCAGAGGTTACATCCTATTGCTTCTAGTTTAACTGCTTGTGCAATAAGTTTCTAGTCAGTCAGTTTTGCCATTTGTTTCTTAACTGAACTGTATCATTCCCGTTCTTATTAGGAAGGATTGAACTTTCTGCAGCTTTCATAGACCCCCTTTCTTTCAGGGACCCCCTAGGTCAGCATCAGCCTTTCTGTGTGCAGAATAAATCCATCTCTTTAATCTTGTGGTGTTTGATTTGTTAATCATTCAGTAATGAGTTCTTGAAATAATTTCAGTTTCTAAAGTTGAAGTATTTAACAGCTGTTCATTTCAAAGGCTGTTAGGTGCTAGATTCTTTTGCAAATCCCAGAAGACAGTGTTCTTCACAGCAGCTAAACCATGCTTCAAAACCTGATGATTCTGAAAACTTTCATGTTTTATCTGATCCTTTGCTTCAGATAGACAAAATTTTGAGTTTTAAATGAAAATGGAAATTTTAAATAGAGAGGACAGTATTACTCTGGTGTGACTGTATTATATATATTTTAAGGAAGTAAATTTTTCCCCTTTTGGGAGATTTTACAGTCATAAATAAATCTAAACGTACATTTTTAAAATGATAACGAGATGACTGATATCAATCTTAATAAATGCTCAGGATTTTTATGGTAGTAAGTTGCTGGAACTACCTGTGCTGCCGCTAGTGATCTACTGTCTAGAAACGACAGACTTATTATTATAGCAGGAGTTAGTCCATAGAAGTAATTCGTGTCACAGGGTGCCATTTTGTAATTTTCTCCGATTGGCTTGGATTTCATCTCCATGCTCTCCTGGCAATATTTTACTTTTCCTGACAGATAGTTAATTTGAGAGTTTCACAGCTGTACAAACAAATTCAAAGCATCAAGGCATGTGCAGTATGCACAGAGCCCACATTTGCTTGGGCTTACTTTAGTAAGCCCATTAATTAAGATTTTAAAATAAACATAAATAAATTGTGGTAATAATTATCACTGTTTTACTAGGCAGGGCATAATAGTCTGCCCACCATCGTTGAAACTGGCTATGTATTTATGAACATTCCACGGAAAACAATGTTTTCATGGCAAATGAATGAAAACAGGTTGAGGCAGAAACATCCTTTTTCTCTAATTTATCAGAGGTTAATCAGATAAATCTCAACTCAAAAGTCTATTAGAAGTGCTTTTGAATGATGAATGTGAATCTAAAATTAAACCTAATTTTCATGAAGCCAGGAACTAGATATGATTTGGCCTATGAAAGAAATAGAACTAAGTACAAAATAAATCCGAATGCAAATATTTCTTAAATCCTAGAATGTTTAATTCAAATGTGCATTAAATTTTATTCTTCCAATGGGAGCTGACTTCATAAGATTAAACTCAATGTACACTGAAATAAAGCTATGTTTAGAAACCAGTGAGTAAACTTGGTCCTTGGATATAGAATCACAGAATGGTTTGGGTTGGAAGGGATCTTAAAGATCATCCGGCCCAACCCCCCTGCCACGGGCAGGGACACCTCCCACGAGACCAGCTTGCCCAAAGCCCTGTCCAACCTGGCCTTGAACACTTCCAGGGCGGAGTCATCCACAACTTCCCTTCGCAACCTGTGCCAGTGTCTCACTGCCCTCATAGTAAAGAATTTCTTCCTAATATCTAGTCTAAATCTACCCTCTTCCAGTTTAAAGCTATTCTCTCTCATTCTGGCGCTACCTGCCCTTGTAAAAAGTCTCTCCTCAGCTTTCCTGTAGGGCCCCTTCAGGAACTGGAAGGCTGCAATAAGGTTACCCCGGAGCCTTTTCTTCTCCAGGCTTAACAACCCCAGCTCTCTCAATCAGTCTTAATAGGGGAGATGCTTCAGCCCTCTGTTTATCTTCATGGCCCTCCTCTGGACCTGCTCCAACAGCTCCATGTCCTTCTTATATTGGGGGCCCCAGAACTGGATGCAATACTCCAGGTCTTACAAGAGCAGAGCAGAGGGGCAGAATTGCCTCCCTCGCCCTGCTGGCCACACTTCTTTTGATTCAGCCCAGGATGTGGTTGGCCTTCTGGGCTGCAAGTGCTCATTGCCAGCTCATGTTGAGTTTTTCATGGACTGATGCCCCCAGGCCCTTCTCCTTGGGACTGCTCTCGAGCCATTCTCCACCCAGCCTGTATTTGTGCTTGGATGGTGTCCCCAGGTGCAGGACCTTGCACTTGACCTTGTTGAACTTCATGGGGTTGGCATGGACCCACCTCTCCAGCCTGTCAAGGTTCCTCTGGATGGCATTCCTT